ACCTCTTTGACAAGTACTGAAGCGGAACACAAACACTCCTTTACAATTGCCTTGTATGGTCTTTTTTCCGCTGATGTCTGGCTTCAGGTAAGCTGTATACATAGTAGACCAAGGAAGTCTTTCTGAATGCCAGAGGTGATATTGAGCAGGGCTCATCTCATTTACTCACTCCATGCTTAGATGGGACTTAATTGAGCATGTCATTTATATAAATCACTCTATAATCTTTTTAATAGACTTAAACTCACTGAATTGTGCTACGTTCAGCTAACGTCTGGTTAGTGTGTTTCTTGTAATGTGTAATGATGATTTATGAATCTGTTCCTGAATTAGCTTACATATAAATCTGATGACTAAGTGAATGTGTATGTGTGTTGTTGTTGATTTCCTAAGAGTGTTGCCTTCCTATTCTTTCTCATTGCTATTTACAGAAACAGCCAAGCAGAAACAATGATGGTCAAAATATACTCTGTAATCAATGAAGAGTGAACCTGAAACTAATTCAGTGGTTGTAAACATCTGGGAGGAATGAGCAGCATAGAGTTATATGGGCTTGAAGGCTTTTGTTGTTGCAATACCAGCAAGAGTCTGCCAGTTTCAGCAAATGTGGATTGGCATTAAAAATGCCCCAAGGGACCTTCATCAAAGAAAAACAAGGGTCGTCGGCATCAGAAAGACACTGACATGAGCCACACAGACTACACTGGAGTACTTTTCAGTGAAGCAAAATTGCAAACAAGAAGTGACACACCAGAGTCTTACTGTTACTAAATATCTGAACTTTTTTTGTTTAGTTTTTTTAGCTTTGAATGCTGTTTTTCCTTTTACAACTGCAGCAACAGTAAACTGCGGTAAAGCAGGCCAGACAAAAAAAACAAAACAATTTTTTTCCACAACAGACCTAGATACGTTATATTTAAAAGAACAGTGAAGAAAAAAAATTAAATTGAAAAATTGAAGTCTGCAGAGAAGACTTGAAAACGATTGTATTGAACAACAACCATTTTCAGTCTAGAGACATTTTGCAGACAACACACAGCTTTACAGCAGCCTGTCAGTGATCAAATTATGGAGGTTTTCTTTACTTTCTTAATCTGTCTGGCAAACAGCATACCGCAGCACCTTCCGATAACATAATTTCCTCTGTCTGTGCTCCATATAGGCTACATCTAATTATAGTGTGTGTCAGTACTTTATCAGTGGAGTTTAATATAATGATTTGAGGCTCACTTTAAATACTTGCGGTTAAAATGTTCCTTATAACCTAATGGCAGCAGTGCGTGTCAGAAAGTGGAGCGCTGTCAAGAAGCAACAACACATTATAAGTGGTCTCTTGAAAACTGTCTGATTAGAGACCAGTTGCGTGGTTTCTCTTACAATGGTGGAAATCACATACTGAGATGAGAACATCGGCCCAGAGTCGGAGTGAGAGGCAGTAAAGCATGAGCTCTGGTTCAATCAGCATTCCCCAAACACTCCGGGGCAGCCAGGAATGTGAAAACTACCAATTTCCAAAGGATCAGACTTCCACAACCAAATCAGGGTGAGCAGTTTTTCTTTATTTTGTTTCAGCTTGCCTTTGGTCTTACAGCTCAGGAAATGGCTTGAGGTTTGGACCATGACCAGAGCAGAGCTCTCTAAAGCTATACCTTCAAGCTATACCAACTAAGGCCTTCAGTCATTGCAACAGAACAAATGACCAACGCAGAAAAATGATACACTACATGTAGAAAGAAAATTGTATTCAGCCACGGCTGTCCGATCAATTTTTCCTAATCATGGCCAAATGTATTATTAATAATAATAATTAATTATTAGGGCTGGGTTAACAATATCGATTATTTAATTAGTCGTAATTTTTTTTTTAACTGATATCAATTCTTAAAAGATCAATAATTTAGTCTATGCTGTTTTGTGTTGTAACACTCCTGCCATCCAATTATCATAATAAGCGTTGTGCTTTTTAACTTTTGATATGAAACAAGTCTCAGCTTTCAAATTCTGTAAATTTTATCACAATGCACATAATTCGATCATCTCTTCCTCTTTACTCCTAGTTATAACCATTTACTCCTATAGGTAGGTATGAAATAAACATGCATCGACATCAGAAGGTATTCTGAAAAAAAAGTACAACGTATTGAAATGTATCATGCCTCATGTAAAGGCTCAATCAGTGTTCCCACTGTTGAAAGATGTCAATAAAACGAATTGTAACGTTGTAATGTTACATTTACCAGAAAGTCATTCAATGTCCACAGCTTGTTAATCAACTAAAAAAATAATTCTAGGGTAGAGCTTTTTGCTAAATATATGCATTGGCTTGCCATGATCGAAGGTAATACTGGTTATACCAGTTATGAGGGAAAACACCGGTATATGACATTTTTGATACCAGTTTAAAGGGGGAATATTTTGTGTAATACTTGACAAAAACAATCTATAGATACAATATCTTCCCTGCATAGTTTACATCTATTTAGTTGAGAGAAATTGACAAGTATTGTACCTGATAAATCCAAATGAACCTATATTGAATCAAATTTGAGTCAAGATAGGAAGTGGCCAGTGAAGTGGCATGTTTAGACTAAGAGGAACATTTCCAGGAGCTACTGGTCAATAATGCACTGTTTGCAGAGAGTCTGCTTCAACTAGACTAGCTTCTTTGTCAAATGGTAACATCCAGACTTAGGGGTGTGCCACAAATCTTGGGATTCCCCTCCCTCACAAACCATGAGATGGGGCCCTGTCCACAAGTAGTGACGTTGTGCTCAAACAATGCAAACGTCAAATCAGTCAAACCATGATACAAACAAGAGGGACACAATTCTAGAATGGAGCACTGTTATTTAATCTTTCTTTTGCTTCACGGGGAAGCAGTTGGACTGACAAAGGCAGTCTTCACACTGCCTCTCAGTCATGTCAATCAACACTGCTCTCATTTTCTGTCTGAATCAATAATAAACATTCAAATGTGTGATGCATTGATTGCTTCCTGCTTCTGTAAATACATTTAGGCCGCAAACTGTGTACATGATGCTTTTATGCGGCTTCTGTGCAGACCAGAATAGTTCTACATAATAAAACTGGCTTATAATGCTGTGAGTAACCCCCTCCCATTTAGAGCCAGGGCCCTCTCACCATGGATGTCTTGTATGCCTGCGTCTGTAGCATGAAAGCCTACAGCATGAAATATACATCTATAGCACCCTGGGCTAATGACCTGTCACTCTTATTCTGTATTCTGATAGATGTCGTGATCTGTGATTAAGTGTGGCAATGTCCTACCCACCATGGTCTCATTAATCACTATGTATGACACAATCATTCACACACACAGTAATCATGCTAGCTAATTAGCAGGAGCTGTAGAGTCTAATTTCTAAATATCAATAAATGCCTTAAATACAGAATACAAACTAAACGTGTATATGCAATTTTCTTGAATGTCTTAATTTAGACAGCATGTTTCTTACCCTAAAAAGCATATACTACTCAAACAAAATGAGTACAGCAGGACTTTATGAATGACGGATAGGGTACTGTAATGGAAGCTATCTCCAGCCAGTGTTCTGAGAGAGAGAGAGTGAATGCTGTGAATTATGATGCCTTTCTCCATGTCAGGGGGAGCAGAGGGGGGCTGCAGTCTTTGAGTCCGCTCCAAATCAAACACAAGCGGATGGCTGACTCTCGCACGACTGCGGCTATTCCGTTTCCATCGGCAGCGGTCTGCTGTGGGAAAGCTATAATTACTCAGCGTGTGGAGTCACTAACTTTACCCTTGCACTCTCATGTCTGCTTTGCACACATATATCTTTCTACACAGAGAGACACTGTCAACATGCTAGCACACTGCATGCACACAAACATACAGATACCCGAGAAGACATGAATGAGTGTTTGACTTATTAAAGTAGAGCATAAAATAAGAAAAGCCAACATAAAGTTCACTATGGATGCTTTGATATATATTCTTTTGATTTTTACAAACATTCAATTTATATTTGATATATACCTGGCAATATTGTATAAGATATATTTTACTTGATATTACCTTCTTGTTCATTGTTTCATTGTTATATAACAACATCATGATAGAGATGGATAGACTTTTTTTCCAATGTCCAATGTGAAAAGTGCTATATTGCCATATATATAAATAAAACAGACTAACTTGATATTATAATAGTATTAATATAAATATTATGCTACCCTGTCCTGTTGGTTATATAATGAGATTAATTGTAATGTTGTGAATTGGGTGTCACATTTTTAAGAATATGTGTTGTCAATATTAGCTTTCTGTATTCCTGCAGTGTAATACGAACAACAGGTGTAGAAAATGACTCCGTCAATGACAAGATATGACACGCAGACAGGATACATGCAGGAGAATGTAATCGGGGAAGGTTACGCAGAGACTGATATCATCAAGAGGCTCACTGGGAAAAACCACAAAAGGTTGACAGGTGACATCCTGTTACGGTGATACAATAAATGACATGATTGCAGCAGTTTGGCAGGAAGCTGACAAAGTTGAAGATTGTGGAAAATCCAGCAGCAACTCTACTGCAGTGCAGAGAGCGATCTCTCCATGCCTGCTAACTGCATTCATGCAGATGTCAAATTAAGGTCAAACATGAGCCATACAGTAACAGCTTTAGACTATGAGACCGAATCAGACAGTCACAGGAAATGAAACATGAAATACTACTAGAAAACAAAGACACATAACTGCTTAACATCACGCAGGTGCTGCAAGTGCAGATCAGATAAGTTTTTCCAAAGTGCTGTATTTGACCAATAAACTTTCATATTGCATGTGACATTTAAAGAACAAATTCTAAGGCTGGGAACACACAGTCCTGATAAATACTGCTATTCAAATCCTACATTCTGCTGTAAAACGTGTGTTGAGGAAGTTTTCCATCCAATCATCATGATATCTATAGTACTGAATCAAACATGATGTGATTGGTGTAAGAAGAGCAGATACTCACCTATTGCAGAGTCGGCTTACGGCTCCATAGGAGTCACAGTCACAGGCCTGGCAGCCGCTAGTACCGTTGGTGAAATACCCATTCTCACATTCATCACAAAGTTGACCTGTGTATCCAGGTATACACACACACTGACCTGTGACAGAGTCGCAGGTATTCGGGTCCTCTGAACCCTCAGCACTACAGTTGCACTGAGGTCCTGTGTGCAAAAGAGGAGAGAAGAGAGATTGGAAACAATGTTATCAACGTAAAAAAAAATAATAATAATAATTATGATTTTAAAGGGATAGTAAACCCTGAAAATTAGCCCATGATTTACTCACCCTGAAGCCATCCTAGGTGTATATGACATTCTTCTTTCAGATGAATACAATCAGAGTTATATTAAAAAATGTCCTGGCTCTTCCAAGCTTTATAATGGGAGTGAATGGGTGTATGTCTTTGGAAGTCCATCAAAGCGCATCTATCCATGATTAAAGTGCTCCACGCGTCTCCGGGGGTTAATAAAGGCCTTCTGAAGTGAAGTGATGCATTCGTGTAAGAAAAATATCCATATTTAAAACTTTATCGACTAAAATAACTAGCTTCCGGCAGACGGCCGTACGCAAGTCGGCTTACGCCAAAAGAGTAACACTTGACTATGTATGACGTTTGATGTAGGAGTAGTGTAAGCTTTGATGCCTCTCGCGGTTCAAACAAACAGGGCTGGTCAACTGCATTCATCATTGCATTGTGTGTCAAGTTCAAGGGTTAGTCTTTCGCCGTAAATCGATGCGTACAGCCGTCTGCCGGAAGCTAGTTATTTTAGTCGATAAAGTTTTAAATATGGATATTTTTCTTACACGAACGCATCGCTTCACTTCAGAAGGCCTTCATTAACCCCCCAGAGCATCGTGATTCGTGGAGCACTTTAATCATGGATGAATGTGCTGTGATGGACTTCCAAAGACATACACCCATTCACTACCATTATAAAGCTTGGAAGAGCCAGGACATTTTTTAATAGAACTCTGATTGTATTCGCCAGAAAGAAGAATGTCATATACACCTAGAATGGCTTCAGGGTGAGTAAATCATGAGCTAATTTTCATTTTTGGGTGAACTATCCCTTTAACATCTTGGTAACAATGTTTCTTAGTAAGTTAGTAGATTTCGAAATTAGTCATGTGAGAGAATATTTTTGCAACATCTGTGTTTAAAGGGGTCAAGAATTGAGGAATCGAATTTTCCTTGAGCTTTTGACATATAAGAGGTCATCATACTATAAGCATAATATGTAAGTTTCAGAACTGAAAACTTCCTTGTTAGTCCAAAAACATATTTTATTGTAAAATCAAGCTCAGCAAACAACTCGTAGTGGAATGTGTCTATCTATGACATGAATAGGTGAAAGGCTTTATGATGAAAGCATTCGTTAGTGCGCCGAAATTGAGTTGCAATGACGAGATCACTGCATTCATGCGCACAAAATGTCTGTGATCAGCTACAATGCTCATCACTGCAACTTTTCATGCCACGATCTAACCTTGAGAGGTGTAATAGTAAAAACGTACTGAAAGTTTTTGAGAAAGTTCCTCATGTAATACTTATTTCATATGCAAAGATGTTAGCCAATCACAGCAGTGGGCGTTTACACTGAAGTCTCACAGCACACCCCTTAAATCAGGGGTGTCCAAACTCGGTCCTGGAGGGCCACTGTCCAGCAGAGTTTAGCTCCAACCCCAATTAAACGCACCTGAAACAGCTAATCAAGGTCTTGATTAGCTGTTGAAGGTCATTAGGCATGCTAAAAACTTACAAGCAGGTGCGTTGAGGCAAGTTGGAACTAAACTCTGCAGGACAGTGGCCCTCCAGGACCGAGTTTGGACACCCCTGCCTTAAATAAAGAGCGTTCATTTCAAAGGGCTAAAATCAGGGTAGGAAAATGCCTTTATGTAATTATGACAATTTTTGATGTAAAAATGTATACTAACATTATAAGTGCAGCCCAGGAAACATTATAAAACAATGCAGTTCATGACCCCTTTAAAAGTGTACTCGGTGTGTTTTTTTCTTATGTTTCACTGCTTCTTCTGTGCCCCAGTGGTCTTCATGTATTGAACTATCAGCAAGGATGCATAAAGTTGGTTAAAAATGGGATAGTTCAACCAAAAATGTTAATTCTGTCATCATTTACTAACTCTGGTGTGGTTCCAAACCAGTAATACATTCTTTCTTCAGTGGAATTCAAAAGGATTTGGTTTATATAGTAAAGATGAGTCTTAAAAGTAGTCCCTATCTTACTTGACAGATGAGGTCATCATTTGGTCAAACTCCTTTTTTTGTTTCATGGAAGAAAGAAAGTCATATGTGTTTCAAAACACAAAAGGCCAAGGGCGAGTAAAAAAAATTTGGTTTGTTGCGACTTTTTAATTTTTTTTTTTTTTTTTTTTATGTACTCATTTGTAAAACGATTTGAGTACTGGTTAAAAACACAACATAAAGTAAACATTATTGTTGCTATTATTAGTAGGCTAACTCTAAATTTCTTGACACTGCACCTTTAACATTAAATAATGCTTAACAGTATGACTTTTGGCGAGAGATTCAGTCAGTGAGTGCTAAGTGGTTGTGGTAAAGCACAATCTCATTTGGCCTTCTACACATTGAGAGATTTTTTTTTCATCGGAACATGGCACAAAAAAGTGTGAATTTATTCAAAGCTGCAGGTTGCCACTTTCCAGTGCCGTCACAGCAGGAGAATAGCACAAGGGCAGAAAATATGGTGCTGAAATCTCTCTAAAAGAAACTGTATGAGCAAAACTACAACATTACGATTCAAGCAGCAAATGGAAATGATATGGAAAGTACACGTTTCATAGCCAGTGGGGCGACTGTACCTCCAGGGGTGCACTGAACCGGTGGGCTCTGAGAACATGTTGAAATACACCAGCTTGATGAAAACAGTCTGTACTTGGCTACTGCCTTCAAGGAATGTTTCAAGAAATGTTTTGTAGGATTTAGAGAGGACTTGAGCCTGGCCCGTCCTGTTATCAGTTCTCGCAGTACAAACTGTTCCCTCCAGTGCACGTCAACACCTCAGTAAACAGTTTTTTGTTATAAAAACAGCCTGCTCAGTAACTCAAAAGCTTCTAGCAGCAGCAGTAACCTTACACATCTAATATGATCAGCAATATTACAGAGGTCACAGAGGCTGTCAGCAAAATTATTTGCTTCCAGAAGTCGAAAAATTGAGCAGAACAAAGAGATCTCATTATTAAAGCACCCTTCGTGACTGTGCTGCAATATTAGCGTGCTGTGTAGCAACCCAGAGCTTATCTGATGAGAAACTATATCGCATACATGCAGTGTTCAAATATAGTGCTGCTTCTGTGTTTTTTTTCTGGGTAAAAGGGGAGCAGGTGTTTTCTCCCAGAAGAAAAGCACATAGCTGTAATTTGCGATGATGATAGTTTCAGTGAGATGTGTGAGGAAAAAGGCAGAGCAAGCAAAAAGAATGATGGATAAAATATTCATTTTAGGATCTCTTTGGACTGTTTCTACCTGACAAAATGCCAAAGGCAATCCCTGGATCACTAAAAAATATCTAAAGAACCACATTTTGATGGGTTGAAATAACACCGTTCCATAAGGGAACACATCTGGTGGGTACTAAATTCAGAAAATACTCCTTTTCTTCTAACTGTCTAACATATTGCATGCATAAATCCAAAGGGGACCTTTCCTGCAGTGTGTCATTGTTTTACAGTGACCTCCCAAAGGACCTGCGAGTGTGAACACGTGGAAAAACACACACAAATACACATGTGCACTGATGCAGTGAGAGAAATGGAGCGCTGTGATATATTTAGGAGAAGCTCTGAGCGTGTACAGTTCCCCATTGCTGACTGGGGGCAATCTGATCTGAATCAGAGGTGACCTTGCAGATTACACAATAGGAGAGCTCTGCCAGACAAAGTAAAAAAAATATATATATTTTACTTGTCTCTTAATGGAACAATTACAAGTACCTATCTTATCTGTCTTGTATCGTCTTACAAGACTCACTCCTAGCCTACTTCCCACAGTCCCGCGTGAGCAGGCATCATTTAATAGAAATACAGATACACAACCGGTCTTTTAGTTTGGGGTTAGAATTTTTCACACAAATGCAAGGATGCATTAAGGTAACACATAACAATAGTGACAGTAAAAATTTTTTTAAAAAATAATTTCTATTTCAAATAAATTATATATTAAAAAAAATCTACTCAGAGTCCTGAAAAATGTCTAACAAAAATATTACGTAGAACAACCGTATTTAACACTGATAATAAGAAATGTTGAGCACCAACTCATCATATGAGAATGATTTCTGAAGGATCATGTGACACTGAAGAATGGAGTAATGATGCTGAAAATTCAGCAGTAATAAAATAAATTTTAATTTTGAAATAGAAAACTGTTATTTTCACATTGTAATAATATTTTACAATTATTGTTTTATTGAATTTTTGATCAAAATAAATGCAGCCCTGGTGATCAAAAGAGACTTTTCAAAAACATTTTAACTTACAACTTTTGAGTTGTGTTAGTGTGTCGTACAGTAGTTTAGTGAATGTGATGGTCTTTATGGACGCAAGGACGGAAGTACTTCTTCTGTTTTTACACAATCATAAACATGCTGAGACATGAGTGTTTGTGGAAGGGCATTGGCAAGGTGATCCCCCTTATTGAGTATCAATAGAGAATGCAAAAAAAATGAAGTCAGCTCAAGACACCTGACAATGAGGTATCGGCTTTCTTTACATGTAAAGGTCACAGCTTTGTTCTGTTTGAATAAGAATTAAAGCTTTCATTTAACGGCTACATATCTTACACAGGGTTGAGCGCATTGACCTAAATTCCCCTTTGTCACATTCTTGGAAATTCCTGCTCCAAATCTGTTTTGTTTTTTTGTACTCATCCCTCACAATAAAATATTGAGTAGGTTCAAATGTCTGCATGAGGGTGTCACTGTTGCAATGCAAAGTTACCATCTTTAAAGCCAGACTGTAAAATGAAGGTTGTGAAAGCAGCTAAAGACTCCTGAATGAAGATGGTGAATGAAGCTCTCAGCTGAGCTAATTCACACATTGCTCCTAGTTTGAGAAATCAAAAATTAGAAAACAAAAAAGGGGGGGGGGGGATGATACATGTCATGCACATAGAAATATATAT